GCAATCCATGGTATATTCAATATTCTTCACCAACACCATAATTCAAAGGCATCAATTCTTCTCCAGTCTTCTTTATTCATTGTCCAGCTTTCACATGCATATGAGGCTATTGAAAACACCATGGCTTGGGTCAGGTGCACCTTAGTCCTTAAAATGACATCTTTACTTTTTAACACTCCAAGGGGTCTTTTGCAGCAGATTTGCCCAGTGCAGTGCGTCGTTTGATTTCTTGACCGCTGCTTCCATAGGTGATGACTGTGGCTCCAAGTAAAATGAAATCCTTGACAACTTCAATCTTTTCTCCGTTTATCATGATGTTGCTTATTGGTCTAGTTGTGAGAATTTTGTTTTCTTTATGTTGAGGTGTAATCCATACTGAAGGCTGTGGTCTTTGATCTTCATCCGTAAGTGTTTCACGTCCTCTTCTGGTAGTTAATGTCTCTAGGTAGGTAAGAAAATGAAATAATTTATCAATCTCGATGGCTGTTATTAAAGCCAATCAGCAAGCAGTTATTAAAGTACCAGTTTTGTATTGCATCATGCTTGCAGTTGAGGGATGTAAAGGATATAAAAGAAATTATAAGAGAGATAACAAAGATTTAAGAGAACCACATCTCCAAAAATAATGGTACTAATAATTAGGTTAGGCAGATAAGACTTGTGTATATAAAATAATAAGTTTTAATGTATACTGGCAGATAGCGTAATGGAGATTTTACATGCTATACAAATTCAGAAGAAGCAAAAGTCAGTATATGATAGAACTCTCAGAGAAAGAGATGGACATTGAATTGGAAAGGGGAGGGTCTTCTAAAGAGTTAGAGGATAGTTTTAGTAAACGTATATAAAGGGAAATAAAGGAAGCAGTAAGCAGGCCAGCCAGCCAGGAGTACAGGAGCGGCATTGGTAAAGGATGGGAAATAAGGTTGGAAAAAAATATATTGGGGATTTTGAATGCTGGACACTGGTTTGCGAGCTTCACAAGGCTCTGTTTTTAACCCTGAAAGATTCAGTAATAATTTTTGTGTAAACTACTCTCAAATATATACCTTTTATCAGGTGCAATGGCTAAGCACTTGGCTGCTAACCAAAAGGTCAGAGGTTCGAACCCACCAGCCGCTCCACAACAGAAAAGACCTAACAAAAACAGTATTTATCTTTATCTCTTACTTCTCTGCTGAGTATGTTGCATTAAAATTTTAGCAGTTTGTTATTTATATCTAAATATCTTCAATTTAGCTGAATCAAAAATGAGAAACTTCTTTATCTTTTCCCAGGAATCAGTCTCTACTTTTGCATTTTCTGTTTCCATTAATGTTGTCAATATCCTGCCTGATTCACAAGCTAACACACATGCATCTTTGCTTCTTTTTTCATCTTTGCCCACCATATACACACCATCCCCTTCTGTAATCTGAAGGCTTGCAGAATTAAGGAAGAACAACAGTGCAACAGTGTAGGGACAAAAAGCTACAAGATAATATTTGCTGACTTCCACTGGAAGACTTATTGGTCAGGGCAAAAGGGAATGAAAACTGTCTTCTCCCATTTCCTGTCTGTACCTCTACTTCAAGTCATATTTTACCTTGATGAAATATTTCTGCATCACCTCTGTCCGATATGTTTTTTTCTTCTCTGAAAGTAAAGTATGACTTAAATTTGAGTCACTCGTTATTTTCTCTCAAGTCTTTAGCAATACTGTCTGTATCACCTAGAATGTACTTTCTTTGTGTTTGCCTCATACTATAGTGTAATGAGGAGAGAGTGAAAGTGACACAGACTATGGAGTCAGACAGATCTGGGTTCAAATCCCAGCTCTGCCACTTTCAGCTTGAGACCTTGTGTACGATACTTAAATTTTTCAGGGTATTTTTTCTCATCTTTAAAATAAGGATGCTAATACATACTTCAATTGGAATATTATAAGAATTAAGTGAGGTAATTAAAATTTATTGTATACTGTACCAAGCATTTAAATATTTTAATATTTAGTAGATTGTAAGTAAACATTACTTTCCCTTTTCTACATTATGTATTTACAATGATGTATATTTATGTATAAAAAAATGTAACAGATAGAGATAAAAGCTAATTTAGCCCATACTTACTGAGATTGTTAGGGAACCACCATATGATTGAACCCATGGATGTCTGTTTTCTTCTCTCTATTACCTGCTCTACTTCTTTCAGTTTTACCCATCTCTGCTCAAAGGTAATTGAGAAATGGAATGTAATCATCTGTAATTTTGAGTGCTTCTTGACTGAAAGTGAGAGAATAAAGTGTAACATAAATATAGACATATTATATGGATTCTAAAAAGCTCTCTAATTTTTTTATTAATGGTACCTGGTCTAAAGTTTCTGCATCTGTTTGTTAGATACTACTGGGAAACTCATTTTATATGGTTCTTCTTGGTTGTTACTTGAATAATCAGATTGCCAACCCTGGCATAATTAGAATCCAAACTAAACTAACAAGTCTGCAGAGTAAAGGCATAGATTGGGGTTGGTGTTGAGTTTAGATCTGATCAGATATTACTATTTTTGCTTTAAAAATAATTGTATTTTAATCAAATATTAAAAATATGTATCTTATCAAAATACTCTTATAAGCCTCATTAGTCACATGGTGATTCAAAAATTTATATCTATTCCAAGACTATAAAAAGCCCATTAAAGGTAGAAATGACCTGTGAACATTTACTACCTGAAAGGTTACTTTGCTATTAAGAAGAGAAGTAGTCTATGGGAATTTATTCTTTTAAAATCTCTCAGTTGTTGCTGCATTTATTATTTCCATTTGTTAAATAAGTTTCCACAGGCTCAGGGAAATGAGTTGGCATCCTGTTTTACAATGAATTCACATTAAAGCCAGGGCTAAATCCAGGTCACCTGATTTCCAATCTGTTATATTCCACAGTATCTGGAAAGATCTTGCCCGTTTATATCATTGAAAAGGTATAAAAGTTAAAGCAAAAGTATTGTTTGAATATAATAATTCATAATGAAATTTCAAAGACTTCACTTTCAATAGAGGTTTGTTTTCTCATTGATTCCTTTTCTCCAGTTATCTGTTGTCTTCTGGCATTTTGTATTGGCCTGATATTTGTGCAACGCTCAGGAAATTACTTCATTACAATGTTTGATGATTATTCTGCTACCCTGCCTCTGCTAATTGTAGTCATTTTGGAGAATATTGCTGTATCCTTTATTTATGGCATAGATAAGTAAGTACATTTGCTTTTATGCATTTATTTTTCATCTCTATTTTAAGAAGACTAGTTGTTAATACCTATTTCATTTAGAAAAGGAGAAAAAATGAATAGAGGGGAAGTTCTTGACTGCAAAATTGAATCTTTTGCGGACTTTTCTTCATTCAATTATTTTAATAAAGTATATTCCCCTATTAGGTGATTAGATAAAATTGTGTAGACTGTAGTATAATTGGAGTCCTGGTGGTGCAGTGGTTAAGAGCTCAGCTGCTAACCAAAAGGTTGGCAGTTTGAATCCACCAACTGCTCCTTGGAAACCTTATGGGGCAGTCCTACACTGTCCTATAGGGTCGCTATGAGTTGGAATCGACTTGATGGCAACAGGTTTACAGATAGTATCATCTAGGATTCTGGAGTTTTGATTTAATTTTGGTAGATGATTATCAATAGTGAGTGTTGGCTATGTGCCTAGAACCTTGTGAAGTTCTACATTTCACAGTTGAGAAAACTCAGGCATAGAGAGAGACCAAGTGACTTGCTCATTACTCACCAGGACAGTGGCAGAGTTGAGATTCATACCCATTTCAGTTTAACTTTAAATCCTATGCTCCTAATTGCTTTGTTAGATGGTTTCATGAGGGGAATATTTGTGTCATAATACCTTATATAATATGAAAATTTTGGGGAAATGATATATCCTGCTGTGACTACTTCATCAGAGAAGTGTAGAACTCAGGAAATACTTGTAAATAAGAGAAAAACAGTTCAGAAATGAAGGTTAAATTGAATGAAAAGAGCACAAAGAAAATAAGCATAATGGGTAATTATTTAAGAAAATTAAAAGGTGAAGATAAAAAGAGGAAATATTAAATATAAACAGAAATTAAGCAATGATAAATCAACATATGTATAATATATATCTATAAAAATAATGGCCAGAATAAATATTAAAAACTATAATTCAGGGGAAACTTTTCTGAAATGCAGAACAACTTATTTTTATTTTGAAAGGGCACACAATGTACTTCGACATAATCTAGAATATTACTTCAAAGAAAAAGAAAACGAAATGGTGTATCCAGGCAAAAACAAAAAAGAAGTCATTTATAAGAGAAAGTGAACAAAACTTTTGAAAAGTACTATGCCATTAGACATATTTATAATACACAAGGAAAGAAAATATAAGCTACAGATTTTAAATCCAGCGAAACTGACATTCACATATAGTGACCAAAGACAATTACAAACATGCAAGAAATTAGGGAATATAGTTATAACGAGTCCATTTTGAAGAATCTAGTAGAGACCTAGCTTTATACAACCAGACAGACTGGAGAAACATCAATACAAGGACTGGTGGGTAGGCATTATATATTTTTCTTGAGATAAATATAAAGGGAGATAGATTACTATATAATGGCTCTAGGCTCTGAAAATGTTAGCACCATATACTGAAAAAAGGTGAATTTTATTTTATATAAATTATATCTCAATAAATGGCTTAGAAAATCAAATATAAATCTAATCAAGACTGTAAATATAAATACTAATTTACAAGAAATAGGAAGATCAGAAGCACGTGTTAAGCAACACTGTGGGGGTTAAATCAGCAAAATACAGACTGAAGAAAACTATAGGACAAAAAACCCAGCTGATTCAGCAAAAAAACTGGAAAAAAATAAAGTGATGGAGGGGAAATCTATAGATTAAAAGAGACTTGAGAGATACTGTGTAATGTGTAGATCTTCTTTCAGTTCAATCAAACACTAAAAATTAATGAGAGTTTGGAAAATATAAACACTGCTTGAATATTTGATGCTATTAAGGATTGTTGCTAAGAAAAAAAAATGAGATGGGATTTTTAATTTTTTGTAAGTGTTGAATTCATAGAATAGAAAGTCAGCAGAAGGAGGAGACTTTTCAGTAATTGGCTCAAAAGGGCTTTTGTCATATGAAAATTCTAGTGCTTACCCGATTTCATTTTATTTGATAAATGTTCTGAACTTACAATTTATATTCAACATGACCTTTTGATTTAGTGTAAAATATCATAGGGTTTCCGTAGCTAAACTCCTGTCATACCATTGACATCACGCACATTTATAAGGTGTGGTTATATTAACTGGAGCAGTAATGAAATATTTTCTTTTTATTTAGGTTTATGGAAGACCTAAAGGATATGCTGGGCTTTGCTCCCAAGAGATATTACTACTATATGTGGAAATATCTTTCTCCTCTAATGCTGTTATCATTGCTAATAGCTAGCATTGTGAATATGGGGTTAAGTCCTCCTGGCTATAATGCATGGATTGAAGATAAGGTAAAATGCAAAGTAGGAAAGTTAGATAAAATATATATAAAATGCCTTTTTAGAGATTTTTGTCTTTTATTTTATTCACAGGTTTTTTTTTTTCTTTTTTGTTGTTTAATGAATAGTTTTCTTATTCAAGGATCTTGAGATTTATGTTTTGTGCCCCCAAACATCTGTGATTTTCATCTATGATTTTCTTTGTACATTGTGGATTTCTTTAATACATTGGAAACATTCACCTTGTCCTCATTAAGATAGCTTTATTCATATTACCATAGACAATTTAATAACTGCTAAGCCTTTGACTCCAGAAAACATTAATCACATCTCCAGAAATATTATTCCTGTTAATTTATTAAATTGTTTCTGAGATCCATTTAACAATGAAAATATGCATTAGTCATGCTGACATCTTTTAAAATAAGTAAATATTGAAGTAAAGTTTTTATTATAGCTGCTTTATATTAGCAATGAATATTTCAATTTATGTTTTCCAGTCATATTAGCTACAAAATAACATGATCATGAGAGATAGTAACCATTATCAGAGTGATGATTTTTCATAGCTACCCCCAGTCTTTAGCTATCCAGTGGCCAATAATTTGATATAATAACTTAACGGAGGCATAAACAAGTCTATTATCTCATAAAAATCCTTGGGACCAGAGGTGCTTCAAAATTTAGATTTTCAGATTTTAGAACGATAGTAAGGCACATGTAACAGGCATCTATTGCTTTGTAACAAACTATGCCAAAACTCAGTGACGGGAAACAGCAGTTATTTATTAATTTCACTGTTCTGTGAGCTGGGCAGTTCTTCTGTTGGCCTCACTTTCAGCATTCAGTTGCATTCCTCTGGGAGAACTGGTACAGCTTGGCCTCTCTCTCCAGGTGGCCTTTCATTCTTGGCTTCTTCACAGCATCATGGACTCAGGGTAGCATTCTAAGAGAACAGTAACAGAAATTGCAAGGCCTTTAAGGCCTAACCTCGGAAGTCTCTTAATGTTATTTCCACTGCATTGTTATTGGTCAAAGCAAGCCACAAGACCAGCCTAAATTCTTTGCTTAAAAACCTGAGATAAGTATAAATGTTTTCGTGTATGTGCATAGAAAGATAAATTCTTAATAATTATTTTTTTGGCTCTAACAGGCATCTGAAGAATTTCTGAGCTATCCACTGTGGGGAATGGTTGTCTGTATTTTGCTGATGGTCCTGGCGATACTCCCTGTCCCAGTGGTCTTCATCATTCGTCGCTGCAACCTCATAGATGATAGTTCTGGTAATTTAGCATCCGTGACCTATAAGAGGGGAAGGGTCCTGACAGAGCCTGTTAACTTAGAAGGAGATGACGCGAGCCTTATTCATGGAAAGATATCAAGTGAGATGTCATCTCCAAATTTTGGTAAAAATATTTATCGAAAACAGAGTGGATCACCAACTCTGGATACTGCTCCCAATGGACGGTATGGAATAGGGTACTTGATGGCAGATATGCCAGATATGCCAGAATCTGACTTGTAGCTGGGGGAAGAAATCAGCATGTTTTCTTTGGTTCATTTTTATCATTGAACATTGGCTCTTTTAAGAGAAGCATTAGGCTTCGCTTATCAGAGGGCGATCTCAGGTGTTCCATGGCTGTGACCTTTAATCCTGACAGTATATGTACATTCAACTAGAGCATTCGTTTGGATTCTTTACTTTACATTTCCGCTGAAAGGATTACAAACAGCTTCCCATGACTGAGGTCCATGTTTTGTCAGAATTTTTTAAAAATAATTTCAGTGTATTTTCAAGTATTTCTATCTCTAAAAAACAGGTGTTACCTCAGTTTCTAATAATTTCTGGATTTAGTAGTATTAGCAATTCAAAAATGGTATACCTTAAAATTTATGAGTTTACCTTCTGGGTAACTCCCAGTATTACAGCGAGCAGTTCTGTAAGTTCGTGCCTCTCAGCACATTTTCATGAATATATTGTGTAGATAGGCTGTATTTACTTGTTAGCATTGATACTTTCTTAGGCAGTTAGTGAAGAAATCTGCAAAATATTTTCGTATGTAGTAGCTATATAGAGCAATAGCATCAAAGAATAAGAAGGCACTAATACTAGGATGAAAGGTTAGATTCAGAGTTGACTGGGGATCATGTGAGTGACAGCTATATGTTTTGTGTAAAATATGTGTGTGAAAATGATCTAAGAGTAAGTCACTCAGCAGTCTCAAGAATTATGCAGATTTTGCATTTTTCTATGCCATGTGCCTAAAAACCTACTTCATATTTATTGTGGTTCTGAGATTACTTATAGTATATTTATATAATATACTTGCAGTGCATATAGATGTATATTAGTACTCTAAGTACTGATTTGAAAACTTGAAGCAAGATAGCATTTTATTTCGTATCTTTCTGTTTTGCTTCTGTTTTATGCAAATATAAATCCTTTTTTTAAAGTGATTGTTAAAATTGTATGGCATTACATTTTAATCTATGAATAAACAAAGTTTAAAAATGATGTTTGTTTTTCACGTTGATTTTTCTTCTATCATGTGAACAAAATTATTTTGAGTTTCCGTTAGCACTTAGGCACTTCATAGTAATTAATCATCAAATAACAAATACAATTAATAGATTGATTAGTAGAGCTACCACCACCTTAGAGACAAAGGAAAATTAGAGTATTCTGGTTAAATGGTATTCTAATGTAGTTTTACAGTTCTTTAAAAAATACTTTCAGTCTCCAAGGAAACCGTATGTACCATTGAGTGCTTGCTGGGTCAGTGTTGTTTCTGATGTCTAAAAAATTATGATTATTTTAAAATGAAACTTTTGTATATATGAAATTAGAGAAAGCAAAGGAATCTCATTGAATACTATCTAGTTAAAAAAGCTTTTATAACTGTCCTACCACTGTAACAGTTACATTTTAAAATAATAAAAGATGTAATAGCAAAATAGAAGAGACTTCTGAAAATCAGCCAATGAAAACCCTATGGATCACAACAGAATATTGCCTGAGATAGTGCTGGAAGATGAGTCCCCTAAGTTGGAAGACACTGTACATACCAGTGGCTCCAACAACGTACTTGTGCACACCAGTGATTGTGAAAATGGTATAGGACTGGGCAACGTTTTGTTCTGTTGTACTGTACACACGGTTGCCATGAGTCAGAGCCTTTTCCACAGCAACTAACAACAGCAAAGTATACTCAGCATATGCATTAGTTCATTTTGGCCAGATGTTCTTGCTGCAGTATAGCTATATGTGAACACACACTGCATTTCAACATTTTAGATATAATTCCACTGGTGACTGAAAGTTTTAGTTTTTATTTTCATGTTCACCAATATTTTGTATGTCTTTAAAATTTTAGCATATTTTATTAATGGGCAATATATGAACATCATACGAAACTTAAAATATTTCATCAGTTTCCCTTCCAGCGTTTCCCCTAGCCACACATTTTCTACCCTTGAAGGCAACCACCATGACAAGTTTCTTATGTATCCTCCTGGAGATACTCTACGTGTATGTACATATATGTTCTGTAATGACAGCATTCTGTATTCTCTCTTTTGCATCTTATTTCAATAAACAATTTATCTTGGGCAATGTTTCATTTTAAGACACAAAGATCTGCCTTATTATTTCATCAGTTGAAGGAATAAATTTTATTTATGAACAAAATATTGGTGAATCAATATTTTCTTTTAAAAGCAAGTCCCAGGATTATAAAGTTTGTAACCTTGTCACCCTTTAACTTATCCTGATAATGCGTTGCAAATAGCACTCTCTCTCTTTTCTCCCTCTCTTGACATTATCTAAAGTTTGGATGTCTGCCTTCCACTTAGGAAGAGGTCTCCACCCATCTATTTACAAAGTAATACGAAAAGGGCAGGAATCTTATGTTTGAGATGGAAGAGAATTTAAACTCCTTCTAATGACCTCATTTGGTAGATGAGGAAACTAAGGGATAGAAGTTAAAGTGAAGTGAACAAGGTTTTCTCCTTTTTTCTTCTTTCATGCAGTCAGTCTGTCAGCTGTTCATTCGTTTATTCATTGATTCACCCTTTCTTTCAGCATCCATCACCAAGCATCTATGTTATTCTTCGTACTAAGACAGGACACCATGTAGAGAATAAAATGTATTCAGCCTTTCCCCCATTTTCTTCCCTTTGTCAGTGAGACTGTTATGGATTGAATTGTGTCCCCAAAAATATGTGTTGTAAATCCTAACTCCTATACCTATACTTACAATCCCATTTGAGAATGTGTTTTTTTTGTTATGTTAATGAGACAGCATTAATATAGGATTTTTCTTGAGTCAATCTCTTTTGAGATATAAAAGAAACACAGGTCAGTGGCAGGGAAGATAGATGCCATGCCACATGAAGATCACCAAGGAGCCAAGGAACACCGGGCCTACAGATGCTGAAAAGAGACAAAGACCTTCCCCCAGAGCCGGCAAAGAATGCCTTACCCTAGAGCCTGCTCCCTGAATCCGGACTTCTAGCCTCCTAAACTAGGAGCCCTGGTGGCACAGTACTTAATCACCTGGCTGCTAAATGAAAGGTTGATGTTTCAAATCCCCCAGGAGATCCACAGGAGAAAGATGTGGTGGCCTTGGAAACCCTATGAGACAGTTCTACTCTGTGCTATAGGGTTGCTATGAATTGGAATCGACTTGATGGCAATGGGTTTTAACCTCCTAAACTGAAAAATAAATTTCTGTTTGTTAAAGCCACTCACTACTGGTATTTCTGTTACAGCAGCACTAGATAACTAAGACAGACGTCTCACCTGTCCTTCTCTAGGCAATGTAGTAGTTAATAAATAATAGTATGAAGTATCAACATCCTCTGAAATTTGAGGGTACTTGCATTTGTATTACTTTCCACTGCTTCTATAAACTGCGGCCTAAACTTGCACGTAGATGTGACATATCCAAGTATTGTCTATCTTCAAGTGGAAGATAGGCTGGGGAGTGTTGATAGGAATTAGGTGATAGAATATTTGGAATAGAAAGAACGGATGAGGGAGAAAATGCGCTCAGTATTAGGAGTCTGAGTCGTGATAAAGGAGTCCCTTATCTTGGTGCAGTGAGCTCTTAGGTGCTATGGATGGTTTCCCAGTCCAACAAGGGCATGTATTAACACTACTTATAAGTAAAGACACACAAAACTAATGGTCATGAAATACTTAGAGAACAATTGAATTCTAAACTGTCCTAGACTAATAACACCAAGTTTCATAAGGAACTGTAGTATACTGGATTACATTTTTTTGTTGTTTTAGAACTAAACTCTTGAAGAATGAGTAGGACTTCTATAATTGGAAAGGGAAAGGCAATGAGACAATGTTTGGGCAGGCATGACTGAGTAAGCCAACCCTAAACCCGTTGCTGTTTAGTCAATTCCAACTCATAACTCGGCTGCTAACCAAAAGGTCGGTGGTTCGAATCCACCAGCCGCTCCTTGGAAACCCTATGGAGCAGTTCTATTTTGTCCTATAGGGTCACTATGAATCGGATAAGCCAACCTTACTATGTATGAAAATGTGCTTCGAAGGAGAAATATTTGGAATACGTTTAGTAGAATTAGACTAAGACAATCTTGAAAGCCAAAGTTATCTATGATGAGAGATGAGGGACATTGCTGTAAATTCTTGGGCAGAGTGAGGCAAGGTCATAGTGTTATTGTAATATGCAGGATGGATTAGTAAGAGGAAACTATTACTTACAATATTAATGCCTACCTTGTGGCAACCACTGTACATACATTATATCAATCTTTCACAAAACCTAGTAGGTAAGTTATTTGTCTTAATTTTGTAAGTAAGACAACTAAGCCTCAAAAGATTGAATAACATGTGAGTGGTAAAGATGAGATACAGATTTTGTGTGTCCTATGTCAAAAGTTCTTTCACTTCTCTTCCCATGATATTTCTCATTTGAAGGGAATGTAGAATAAAAGCAGAAGCTCCAATGATGATGTGGTACAAGGGAGCCCTGGGCTGTGATAATAGCAGTAGGGAGAAAAGGCTGCACCAAAAGATTTTGCAGGAAGTGGTGGTAGGATGTGGTAGCAGCATAAGAATAGAGCAAGACGTCTTAATAAATTCCATAGATCCCTAGGGGTTCCAAGGATGTAATTTCTTGAAAGTATATTTACATTTCCACATGTCTGTGTTTATGTTCATTGTTTTTTGGCAGAAGTTAATTTTTCATCAAATGCTCAAATGGGTATGTGGTCCTAGAAAGTTTAGGAGTCAAAATATTGTGATTTTTAACTAAAATTTTGCTTTGGAGTCCTGTTTCCTTTTCAAAGACATACATTCTAACCTACTGAACCACAATCTTTTTGGGATGGGTGCCGGACATGAGATTTTTTTAGAAACTTTAACTCATTCTAATGTGGGTATGATGTAAAATATAAATCCTAATTGTCTTCTCTCAGACAGAATGGAAATGAAGTTATAACTAACTTATAGTAGAGGAGAGAAATTATTTGAGTGGGTAGAAGTTGAAATTAATTTAAAAAAAAATTTCAAAAGTAAAATATCTTCCTTTGAACTTATTCCCATGGTTACTGTGTTCCATGAATACTCCCCAAAAGGATCTATATCTATGTTTATTGAATATGAATAAAATCAATATCAATTATAGCAATTACATAGATTATCCCATAAATTTAATCATAATTTTTTTTTAGCAATAAAGTTTTGACAAAAAAGAGAAAATAATAAAACTATAGAAAACCGTTGGAAATGTTAAAGATAACACTTGCCATAAGCCATCTATTACTGAGTGTAGCATATTTTTATCTGTGTAACTTGGGACTGAAGTAAAATATTCCACTTTGTTTAGCATCAAATGACTGACTCCAAAACTGGCTCATCTTCTAGTTACTCTGTCATCCATTCCTACCTAAAACATTGCATTAAAAATGCCTATCATGTGGATATAAGAAGGGAAAGAGGACTAGGGCATGATCTTATCCTAAACTCAGTGCTTTCTGGATTCCACTATTGCTTTAACACACCACAGTCATCCTGGTCATTTCCTTCACCACCACCAAAACACACGTGCACACACAAGCACCTGGTTTATATGAACAGCCAGAAACATGCCATGTGGTGCCTGTGCAGTAACCATATATGGTGCCATGCAAATAAATCATGCCCATAGATTAATGGTGATATCCCAGCTGCCTTTCCATTTCCCCTGATTGCCTTTTCAGGGTCTATTCAATTGCTAGTAAAGAAGATAAATGCTTTCTAGAAACAATTGCCATTTATTTTTCTGCGAATACAATTTTCTCAGGAAAGGGCCATAAAATTAGTTGTAAAAAATATGTTGTTTCAATGTCATAAAAGAGTGCTTATAAAAAAAAAACAACAGAACATGACGCCTTAGTGTATCCCAATCCCAGAACACAGAGTAAACCTTAAAAGTGTCATTCATGGTAGCAATGTGGCATTCATTTGATTTGCTCATCACTAGAATTTACCCACAT